CCCCTCTCCACTCCTCTCTTCTCCCCTCCCCTCCCCTCATCCCTTAATATCGTCCCATCTCTCTCTGTTTCCTGAGCCCTCTCAGATTTCTCGCCTCCCTTCTATCCCTGCCTTTATTTATTCTCCCCCTTAAGAATTGTAATGATGGCAGGGCTTTCACAGTTTTCACATCATTTAAGACTAATATGTGACACTCAGCTGTGCCAGCTGAAGCCTTTGATGGCTCAGCACTCTACTAAGAGCTGTCAAAACTGGCAGTCCTTGGAACTGTGCTGTATGATGCACAGTATGGTTGGTAGGGGAGCACGGAAGCAGATGTACGGAAATCTAAATAAGATTACAGAGAAGGTGGAGGATGTAGAGATGGAGACGGCTTCTCGGATCATTGGAAGGGGCAGAAATGGCAAAATGATCTTGGGTCGAACATGTTGTATCTATATATGTATGGTTTTTGTCAAAGGCAGGCCCTTCTTTGTAGACCACACCAAGGGCAGGCTGCCAGTGGCTGGACGTCTGTAGCCTTGATACATATGGCCTCTAGTTAAAGTCATCACACTCTACAGTACACCGTACATTTTTTTGCTGAGTAAGATATGCTACTGTATATGATGGTTTCTAAGGATGTTAGAGGAGGGATGAGCCATTTGTTGAAAATTTTAACTTATAAAAAGACCTTGAGATGAGTAAACACAAATAGAGCTAAAAATATTTATCAAAGAAAAAGAGAGCATGAAAAGGGGAGTAGACAGTCATTAGCTAATGGAGGGTTGGAGACAAAAAAAAAGACGTCAGTGTCTCCAGAGTGAACTCATCTTCAGCTTCTTCACAGGTAGTTTTGATTATATGCTGCTCAGACTTTTGCATTTGCTCCACAAGAACAAAGTTTTTCTCCGCACGCCGATGACGCAGGCTCGTCTTTAATGACCTAACTCTTTGGATTGAGTCACAAATCTTGATCTTTCTACCTCAATAATGTACATTTCTAGCATTATAGAAAAAACAGTGGCCATAAAATTGGAAAAAAGCGATGAATATATGCACAAAAGGATAACAAACTAATTTTGTTCCACAGATGTTGGAGGTGTACAGCTCCGGAGAACAGCTCTGTAGGATGTGGTGTATCTGCCATGAAATTAATTATAATAGTCACTACTAAGGCAATTTTAAAACCCATCTCTTAATGACTGCTTTCATAGACTTAGAGCTGAGTCATACAGTGTAAAGACATGATGGATAATTAGTGGGTATCACGTAAATGATGTCTTTTGTGAAATGCTCTAAAAAGCCATAGCAACGATTTAACCTTCAAGTGTGACAGTGCTTTGTTCAATAGCAGGAGAGTTGTGTTTAATGCTGTCAATTAAAACAAATATCGAGGCAAACAGACTAAATGTTCAGTAAAGCATAAAGAGAATGTTGTGCTGCTCAAAACTGTAAAGGAAGAATAAATACTTTGAAAGCAAACAGACCAAAAAGATGACATAAAGTTGAAATAATCGCCGTGGAAAACCAGCTTGTTTCAGAAAACAATGGTTTTTATTGTCTTTAGAATCCAAAGTGTCCACTTTCATCCTGACACTTCTTCACAGTCAGACAGAGTCTAACTGAAACTGTTGGGTGGTTTTAAACATAACGCGAGCATTAGAAACACAGACTGTTAGTAGGCAGATTTGAAACCAAGCAGGGAACAGGTTTTGTTCATAAGAGTGAGTGTCAGTTATGACTCTCTACAGCTGCATTTGAACCTAAAGCCTAAAAACAAGCCCCACACACAGTCTGTATGAATCACTTGAAACAATGACTTAGATGATGAAAAGATTACCATCAAATTTGTCAAGTAAAATATGCTGTTATAACTTTTTGTTTATCTTAGTCTTGGCCTGTAGAACGTCAAGAGTTTAAACTTGAAATAGTTTCAGTGTCAGTCGGTTTGCCATCTGTTGACTTAGTTAATGATGTTGTTTGGTGCACAAAGTGTTGTATGTGTATAATGTGTTTGATATTGTTTTATTATTTTATCAACAGACATTATACAGTGAGTTTTATTTATTTCTGCAAGTATGTGTCATCTGGCTTAATTAAATTAACACAATAATGTAATTAACGGCATAAATGTCCCTACAATAACAGAAATGTAGTTAATGTTTTGTTAATATTTATTAACATGAAAATGTCTGTCTACTGTTTATAATTCAACTTGACACATTTAATCATTAAATCAAAAGGACAGCTCATTTATGTATATTTTACTCCTTAACAGTATATTATGTGGCAGAAGAATTTCATTCACAGTGTAGTCTGTAAATAATAAATAATAATAATAATAAAAAAAGAATATCCTACATGGGACAGCTGTCTGGATTCAAACAATGCCTGTGTTGGAGATTTCGCAGCACAACCTTGGATTCATTGTTAAATTGTTACTGATGTATTTTAACTGAGATTGTTATAACAATGTAACATCACACAAAAGCTCATTTGAGTGTGTGAGCGCTCACCCTTAAAACGGGGCTTCCTTAAAGGCACAATATTGATTTCACAGAAGCACATTTAATGATAACATCCTCACTTATAACCCACTAATGTTTCTACAATTGCAGCCAATTAACTCGCACAAGGAATATAATTCAGAGTTTAGGAGAAATTCATTATAGTACAAGAAGCACCGAGATAAATTTGGTGGCCGTTTCTTTGAGGAGCAGCCATGCACGGGGCTGTAAATCATGCACAGGCAGCTGAGGCTCAAAAACACTCTGCAGCCGGAGAATTTTAAACGGTTTCACCAGGATAATGATTTCCTGCTTCGGTGTATTCACACTCACTGTGTCGCGGCGATGCATGGTTGCATTTGAGATACAATACGCCGGCAAGGGTTAGTTGCATAGAAGGAGAGATGAATGCTGGTGTGTTCCTCAACAAATCATTAGAGTGTGCTCTGGATTTAAACACAAAGCAGTATACTGTACTGCTCTTTTAAAAATGGTGGCCGTATGAAAAGCAAAAGAGGTTGTGCTGAGGATTAGCGCAGCTGTAGCCCGGCTCATTTGCATCCTCAGCATCAGCGATATAATGCTACTTGAGAAGAGATTAGTCTTCTCCCTCCTTGACTTTGATCAGATATACAACAATTGTCTTTCTCCGTAAAAATATAGACCACAAGGACAAGAGGAAGAGAGGAACTCATATCAAGTATAATTTTATATACTACCGCAGGTTTTTCCTTTGAAATAATCCCTGCATTAATGCAAGAGCAGCGCCTGTATCTCTAGTTCCCTTATTTTATTTTTTTTTTTCGGCACTACGTCCATTTAAGCTGTGTGCATATATTTGGGATTATGTTCAACCCAGGGATCATGTTTCTGCATAGCAGTTACAGTAACTAATATGTACAGGAGTTGACAAGCTCTTTTCTAACAAAGTAGGTAGACATTAAAAGAGAAAGGACTGAGGCTACTTGTTATGTAATAGGTAGAGAGGTAGAGTTTTTGTATTTTACAAAACCTCACCTAGCCAAAAGCTCTCACTGAGTCGAGGCCAAAGGCAGAGACAACTGCTGAATGTGCATGACCGCAGCGTCCTTTTATCAGATCAGGAACTTGCTGCTATAAAGACCATACTTTGGGAAGTTATTGTTCTTTAGAATAGTCATTTCTCTTGGGGGTGGTGGGGTACGGGCCTGGACCTTTTACACAGTCTGCCACTAATGAAAAACCCAATTTCAGCTGTATCAGGCCAACAGAAAACCAACGATTAAAGGAGAGAGACCAAGAAATGAACCAGATAATCACAAGTAACAGCCAGTTGTTTTGGTGGTTCACGAGCAGCCTCCTACTGTATACAGTGTGTGAAAGTTCTATTGACGTGGAGGGTGAATATTGAAATGATTTGAAGACATATGATGCCATGGAGACATTTTCTTTTCCCAGTAACATTGATTTTCTTCAGCAGTATAATGAAGTGTCTCATTCCTAACACATTAGAAATAAATTACTTTTGTCCTAAATTGCTTCGGAAGAAAGTTCCCTAAAACTGGGGTAGAGGGCTGTAAATCTACATACACATATAAACCCTATGACTGTGCTAAAATAAGACTGGTGGATAAAATAAAGGAAATGAAAATAAAGGGACACACGTCCTTTATAATCCTAATATCAATACTGAAATCTGTTTTTTTTACTGTCGTAGTATTTACATAAAGAAAAAAGTGGGGGGAAAAATCGAAGCCCTTGGTTTGGCTTTCTGTTGGACAGCAGCTAGCAACAAGAATGACAGTGCATCAATAGCCCATATTCTCCTGTTACCTCGCTGTCCCTGTTTGCACTCACTCTGCCCGCTTTAATGAATGTCCAGAGACAATTTCAGCAGAAGACATTGAAATGGGCTCCAGTATGGAGAAGCAGCAACTCACAATTACAATAGCCATTGATTCTCCATTCCACTGCCTTTCTGCTCCGAGTTGATTTGGTCTGCTTCTTTATGTCAGTCGCGTCCTGGACTCTACACTCTAATGCGGCACTTACACCCTACTCAGCTGTGTTGTCAGTGTTTGTTTCAGAAGTTGTTGTTTGTCTCCCAGCACTTTTCTCTTTTCCTCCTCTAGGCCTCTGTCTAACTTGTCAAACATATAAACTTGGTTGTTGGAAATCGAATTTGGTGAAGAAGGCAGCTGGGGGGAAACAAAAAGCGAGAGAGGGAGATACTGACAAAGGGGGGTAACGGGGTCGTAGGGGGGTTGGACGGTGGACTTAGGAGAGATTTGTGTCGCCGTGTGTTTGGCGTCCAACAATGGGTGATGAGTAGAAAGGGCGGGATCTCACTGGAAATGGGATCAATGGACCATCTGCCCACGTACAGGAGCTGGGCTGGATTTAGACAAGAGGAAGAGTGGCTCAAGCAGAGATCATGACTGAGGAGGAGTTTGACTCTGGCCCCTGGCAACAGTGACTTACATCATCCTTTCACGCAAAGGAACTCTCCGTTTGCAGCTCTTTGTTTCCTCTAAGCCTTCCTTTTCTCAGACATATGCTCAGCCATATTCTTTCTGCTGTGCTTTGCATTGTAAAATGAGTTGGCATGAGCAAATATGCTCTGCTGGCCTGAGGACTGCATTGGATTGTATATAAAAATGGAAGATAAAGAATCTCCCCTGTCTTTCCTCTAGGTGTAATCCAAGCCTGTGACTTTGCACTTTTGTGGTTGAGCAGCCTCTCAGTATTCAGACAGCATTAACATATAGCAGCTAAAGTGGTGAAGTTTCACTCGGAGACTTACCCAAATGCTTTTGCTATGTGAAAACTTTCTTTGACTTTAGTCTTTTAAAAGCCAGATAAGGTTACCTGGTGTCATCCGAGGTATATGTTAATAACCAAACACATTAGCGGACTATTTTGGAGTCGGAATACAAATGATCTCTACGCCGAAATGGCTTTCAATGCCGCTCATGAAGAGCACTGGTCTGATGTCAGTTAATTTGTCCTTGTGGTATTCTGTATGAAATGGAGGCCGTCTCCAAAAATAACAGCAGCACTCATGAAGAGGTGGCTCGAGGTAAAAGGAGGCTGATACAGCAAACGCAAAGGAAAAGGTGTCGACCACAGGGAATAGGAGTATCAGAGGTGGATGTTCAGCCAAACTGAAATAAATACCTACACTTCATCACCTGAAGGGGTCTCTGGAGAAAAGCAAATTTAGACAAAAAGTTGTTGAACTGTCCACAGGGAGATTAAAACGAGCTCCTTGGACTGATTAAGGCTAAGTCTGCTTATGCTTAGCTCCTCTTTCTGATTAGAGATGGAACAACCTCACTTGACAATGGCCTCTGTAATTGGGGATTCAGCGATATCTACTGTACACCAGCCGTGCCTTACTGATAATTATCCATCAGGTCTAATGGTCTCTGCATAGACACGTTGGAACTTGGGAAACTGCATTTTTTAAAAGTCATCACTAGGATAAACTGCATAACTAAACTGCACATTCCTTCCCATTCATCCAGACTAAATCTCTGGTCAAGTCACAGAAAACACACAGTCTCAGTGAGTCCACATTATATAACCACATGAATATTCAGTTTGCTTTTTTTCAAGTTGTTTTGGTATAAAATGTTTAGTGCATGCTTAACGAGGCATTCATAATGCAGCAAAATCTAGACCGCTTGGTGAAAAACTAAACTAATTTAGACGGAAAAATGAAAATAAATTTAAAGAAGAAAATGAAAGACAGTTTCTATATAATAAAATGTACCACATGCAAGACTACAAGTGAAGAATGAATCTATGTTAAGGAACAAAAAAAAGTTTTTTCCACACAGATGCACTCCCATGTGTTTGTATCAAAGAGAGGATGGAGGTTAAAGAGCAAATATGCATTTGTACTAAATTTACTAGCACATAATCATGTGGTATTTTCATTTTACACCCTGGACTATCATTATTGCACCAAGCACTCTTTCTCTGTGTGTTCTCCCTCACACTGATATGAATGAGGACGAGTTCCTTTTACTGCCGTCCAACAACACTGAATAAAAACAGCAAAAGCAGACAAAACAAAGATGTAAAGTTTCTCGGTGGTCAAAACCTAACCTGATGGTGTGTAACAGAATAAACAAGCAAATATGTATAAGCCGGGCTGACAAAATTTAACATTCCAACAGACAACATGCTCAGGTCAAACGCCCACCTCGCATCAAATCTTGTTCTAATCAACTTAATCAAATGGATTCTTTTTTAAAAATTATTATTCTAATTAAAATGAGGTCTTACAAACATTTTACTTTATCATTATTCAAATGATAAACTGTCAATCATTTTTTAATGAACAAATGTACACCCACTCAATTAAACCTTCTCTGGGGGAATAAAAAATATTGATAACATCTTTTTTTTTCCTCTGTTATTATTAATTCACACCCTACAGCTGAGTGGAGACACAAGAGTAAAAAAATATTTTTACTGATGAAAACCTCCTCACCTCTGCAAATCGGCACAGGGAAGTCCCACACTGACACACTGGCTGCGTTGGTGACACAGGTCAGAAGTGAATGTCCATCCAGGACATAACCACTGACACACCGGTACCGTATCTTGTCACCAACGTTGAAGTGAGTTCCATTTAGGATTCCTTTTGGTGGAACTCCAGGATTCCCGCATGAGCTGCTTCTCAGCTCTGGAAAAAAAAAGAAAGAAAGAAGACAGAGTTGTTAAGAAGAAGTGCATTACTCTACCAGTCATTCTTAATTGTATTTTAGTCGTAAGGCATTATGTTTCGTCATTTAGCTGACAAAAAGATCTTTGTTAGAAATATGACTAAACTAATCTGAACCTGAGACCCTAATTAGTTTGTCAGCACCAGCTTGAATCTCAAAGACTTTATTACGACTATCGAGAGTTGAGATGGAAATGAGCAGATGACAAAATGCAACTCCCAGGCGTGGAGTTCCCCCTCGCTTATGCACCCAAGTTATCAGATTAGAGCAGCTGCTGCCTGTGTGAGACACATTGGATTTGTTGCCACCTCACACGGTTCGCAGCCAAACACACAGTGAAAAAGATCTTTTTCACTGCAGTTTCACCGACTGTATCTGTCAAGTAACAACTCTTCCTACGGCCAACGACTGAGTCAGAGCACAGCAGCATCTTTTTTATAACCAGTTTGTGGGCTTTTTATTTTCGTTCTTTCAAATGTGTAAAATCAGCAAAAGCACAGCAGTAAGTGAAGACTAGCGTTCGATGGTGTACGTGTATGTGAGCATCATTCAATTTTAGATACTAATTTTCAAAACACAAATTATCAAAGCAGCAAAACAGCACATGTGCTCTTCAAATGAACAACTGCTGCTACTCCACCTGCCCAGAAAAAAGGGTGAAATCTCAAGATGGGAGGTGCAGTTGGCTCGTGTTAGACACACCTGAAAGGCTGCTCTAATATGATAACACATGCCTGAGCGGTGGCTCATCCTCACAGGGTTAGATGGCAACAACATATGCAGCAATCCACAGGGAAAAGGAACAACATTAGTAAATGGCACAAAGAAAACAAAACATGAAAAGAAGCTCCAAACTAACGTCATTACACCCCTCATATTTAAGTACGTGGGTTTTAGTGTGTGTGTGTGCGTGTGTGTGTGTATACACTCATTACCCCAATTATAACTGATCGCTTACTTCAATGCAATACATGTTTTTCTTGAAAAGTTAGTTATAGTTAACTAAGTTGTTATGATACATTACAATTGACACCAGGACCAGATTATTAAAATCACAGCAGTCATAGCACCCCCTGCAGGAGAGGACTGGAACCCCAGATTTAATACACCTACAGCTTCTAAGAAAACAAAAGTATGGAGTGCCAGTGTGGGTACTGAGTAAGGTCAGGTCAAATACTACATTTGAAATGCTTTAACAGTGTACCGGGACTCAAATTGTTGTCAAAGATTTTTGAAGGCTGTACCTGGAGGGACAGAGCAGTGGTGTTCTGTCTCTAATTGAATTTTAATGCAACGACTTCTAGCGATATTTTGCTGACATCGGGTCCAATGATCACTAATGGTGGTTTTTATAGAGCATTATAAAAATAAGAAAAATACTGATTTCTTTTTTGTGTTTTTCCCTGAATCTAATGTTTTTTTTTCTTCACTATGCTGCCTTTTTTTCTATTTCCAATTATTGTGCCTTTTTGTTGGAGCCATTTACTGCTTATCACAGCACGAAGAAAAGAGTCCATATGACACAACAGTAACAATGACAAATAATAGAACAAATTGCATCAATATTTTACATCCCAGGGCAAACATATATTTGAGAGTGACATATGGAAGTTGTTTATTCCTGGAGAAGGCACTTTATGATCATGTTATTCATTGTCAAACTACTGAACAGACTTTTGATGAATATTATTGATGAACAAGCCTCAGGGGTAACTTTTTTTTGCCTGCACACAATTTTAAGAATATTTCTGTTGTCCATTAGACCACTGTAACTCTGTCTCTGTCAACATCCCCATTCACAAGTCCGACCTGCACACAATGTTTCTGCAAAGCTTTTATTTCGAGCTATTGTGCAAGACAATAACACATCACCGGCCGCTTTTTGCCCGAGGAGAAGCTGAGCAATAAATTGAATTTTTATTGTAACTGCAATATCAACATGTGCAGTAAACATCACAAAATAGAAAAGCAATGAATTAGAAAAGGATTTATTTACACATGCCGTGCATTCGCAGAGGATTTTCAATAGGACACTAGGATTAAGGCACAGCGTCCTATTGTAAAGTACAGAGAATGAATGTAATTAATGCTGTCTGTACAGTCACTTCAGCAGATAACCTGTGTATGAGAGTACACTCTACACACATACAGTATATACTCTATATACCGCACAATGTAAAATAGATGCAATAGTAACATTAAGAATTTGCTAAATATTAAATTCAATATAAAACCGTAGACTGAGATTATTAAAGAACCTGTGAATATGTGTGCATCAGAGGATAAAGAGGATACAGTGTGTGTAGTAACAGATGTGGTAGCAGTGAACTTATTCTGTAGTTCAGTAAATTAAGTTAATCGTCTTTTGGATTTGTTAATTTTGGATCAAACACTAATTCCTTCTGGGCTGTTTTAGCATCAAATGCATCAAAGTTCTTCTGTTTTCTCACTAACCATCAAGGACATTTCATTCATCAAGTTACTGACAGAATCCACATCAATCTCTGACAGCTGTTTTTGTCACTTCATCCAACAAAAGAAGCCCAGGAATGATTACAATGAGAAGCAGCAGCTGAGTGTTTTGACACTGCAATAACAAACGCTCATCATTTTATATCATCAAGTATTAATCATTTTGTTTTTCTAACAGCGACGTCATGAATAAGCACAATGTTAATTTACAACTGACACATTCTTGTTAGTTTATTAATCAATTAGCTGATGAATGCTATCTTAGCAGCTGATTATGCTAATCCATACTGTACCTTTCTGGAGCACAGGCATCAGAACACATGATTTATGTGGCACACAATTGAAAACAAATACTGATTGTTGGGCAGAAATGTTTTTTGTGTTTTAGTTTAATTTAGAATATTGTCCATTACGGAAAACAAAATTGAAAAAAAAATGTAAAGCGTCAAACAAAAATTTCAAAAAAACAACAAAAGAAAGTAGTGGAAGCCAATATGATTGCAAGCATTTAGTGGTGGTAAACAGTAATTGCAGCTGTAAAGCTCCTTTCATAGATTGAATGCACTGCTAACCCATTTGGTTTTATACCAAACTAATTCCATCAACATTTTCCCAACAAAGCAAACCTACATTAAAACACAGCGCACAACATTTCCAAATGATATATGTTTTTGATTGTTTGTTTTTTACACATTAAATTACTGTATTTTTATTTTTACAAACAACAGTCTATGGCACATTGTGTTTTAATGGCAGGTTTTTAAAGTTTCCCCAGAAACATCTTGACCAATTACAAAAAGAAAAAAGAAAACAGGCCATTGTTAAAAAATGTGAGCCCCATATTATTTACTGAAATGTTGAATGCTGTGCTGTCAGCTACGCAAGAACTGAATAGGAAAAAGGTTGACTTTGTCATTTCTGCTTGAGAATTTACTTAATAATTAAAGTGTCAAGCTCAATTTAAAGTGTGCAGAAATAAGCTGCACGAGGATGCTCATCAAGTCCTTCTCAACTCTCTGTGTCCTTCACTCTATCTCTGATATGGATCCCACACACACACACACACACACACACGTGTACTCAAATGCCAAAGCAGGTTAAGAGTCATTCTCACTGCCAACCATGATTATAATAAATACTTTAGACGCACGTCTTCAAGAAAAACCCTGATACTGAGCCCCAAACAACAGTGTGTCCCCACGGGAGTCTCACAGTCTATTAAAAGTCTATTAAAAGACTTCCTTTTGGTTTGAAATCGCAGATTTATGTGGTTTAACACGATGCATATCACAGAAAATCAAACTTTCTACGTCCTCCACACTCGCACCCTTTGGAATCTGGTGCAGATAATGTCAAGTTTAAATCCAGCACAGCCGCTGATCCAAAAACATTTGTGTAGGGAGGAAAAAAAACAAGGAAGTCAGGTGTCGATGCTCTGCGGTGTGTGAGACGACAATTTGTTTTCCCACAATAAACTCTGCGTCCAACAAATCTGTTGTCGGGTACTCACGATATGAGGATGCCAATTGACATGTGAAAGTATTAAACGCCCCCAATGTTTTAGCAATTTAACACTTACAGCTAGAGCAGGCACTCAGTATAAAGTAGACTGCTGGAAAATGTTGGCAAGATTTCCCTGTGAGATCTCAACCTGTGAGTTGAGAACTGCACC